ATAGAAACTAGGTCAGCTGAGAAGGCTATCATAGCTTAGCATATGCGCTGATTACTTTGGAAGTAATTATTATGCTTCTTAGAAACATCTTTGTAAAACAAGTTCTATGCAACGGAACTCGCTTGGAAGTACTTCAGCTCCATGGGCATAGTGTAGCGGACCATGAGTTTAATACGCGTGGTCTCCTGAAATAAAATCTATTACAAATATGGCGGACTCAAGTTGAGTCCAACCAAAAGAAATGTAAAAACAAAAAACAAGACCAAGACCAAGTATATATATATATATATATATATATATATATATATTTATTTAAAAATATGATTCCAAATATGATTCCCAAATGACATAAGAAGTCCCATGTTTCAAAACAAGAGCCGAAAACTTCAATATAATTATTTAAATTAAATTGAGTTAAAATAAACTCTGTTCCATCTTCAAGCGAAATTTTTTTTCCAAAAAAATTTCGCTTGAAGATGGAACAGAGCTTGTTTTGAAACATGGGACTTCTTATGTCGCGATTTGGAATCATATTTTTAAATAAATAATTATATTTATGCTCTACTTTTGTATCGAGCACTATTTTTAAAAAATAATAACTAAAATACTAAGGGACTTTGGATTATTTACCTAACCAGTTCCTTCCTATTTTCTATATATTTTCACACACACACACACACACACACACACACACACACACACACACACACATATATATATATATATATATATATATATATAAACAATTATATATGTATTAACAAACAAACGAATAGAAATTGCAAAAATAATAATGTGTTTGTAAGAAATAATTGTGTAAAGTTTGTGTTCCAAGAAATGCGTGAGTGAATGTTCGTCCATACGTGTGTGTGTATCATGGCGTTTTCCCAAGGAAACGCATAGCGCCAACCATGAATGGGGAAAACGCAATCTTCCATTAGAGCCTACATGGTCGTAGTTCGCGGAAAATGTGTGTGTCTGTGAGTGAGTAGGTTTGGGAAAGAGAGAGAGAGAGAGAGAGAGAGAGATATATAATTTATATAATTTAGAGGTAGCGTCCTTAGGAACAATTTGGACAATAAGGAAATTAAGGAGAAGTTACTTCTGACAAAGCCTCTCAACCCTTCTAGAGGATTGATTGTATCAATTCTATGATATTGTTTCTGTCCTTGTGAACTGGAGAGAAATGGTGTCGCTTGAGACGCGTGACAAAACGTGTCGATGAAATGCGTTTATCGAAGCGTCAATTATAAGTGGATCTCACTCTCAGACGAGAGTATTGATTCCAAGAATCAAACTTAAACCAAGCTATTGCAAACATTCCATTCGTTCTGCATCGGGTCCAATTCCCGGTTCGTTTGTCGTATTCTATGACAATAAGGCACGGAGACAAACATTCGATAGAGTTGGTATCCACTTGTCACAGCCATGCTTCACTGATGGCCAGCTTTATGTAGCGTTTTCAAGAGACAGGGCGATGAACAGTTTGAGAGTTTGTGTGAACGTTGTTATTATTATAAAAAAAAATATATAAAATAATAATATTAATGAAAATTATAAATAAAATAAAAGTTAAATCTCGTTTAAAATAAATAAATAAATAATATAAGAATAATTAAAATTACTCTCAGCATGCAACAGGGATTCTTACTGCCGGAAATACGGACATCCCACCAAGAGACGCGAGATTCAACCTCTTTCTTCGCCTAAGGACTGTCATGATGACCTCACGTGTATAAGTTCCCTCCGTGATAGAACTTGTGATATTACGGAGTGACTTACTCCCTTTTATAACATGAACATTATCACGACTGTACTGTAAAACACACACAAATACATAAATAAAATTATATGAAACTACCATACAATTTACCATGTTTTTTAGTGTTACTATGTAAGTTTGTTCTGTTTTTCCTCGTGAACTGATGTAATGGAATAACCCTGCACCCCTATGAAAGATTACACTATAGGTAGTAAGTACCTATAAAGTTGACTGTCTACGAGAGACTGAGGACGACAGAAGAGGCGTGAGAGTGAGACGACGCAAGCACGTCCAACCTTCCACTTAGTGGCACTCTCTACTAGATTGACATGTGTGTATAACTGGACCGTATTTCATATTGTACTGGTTGTGTACAACAAAACCTTTCTTCTATTATCCACCTGGTGTTAAGTATTTATTCTCTTGGCACGGATTATAACAGTTCCGACGAGGATTTGTTGGAACATAACATGAACACAAGCCCAAAATTATGACCACATGGTGTAACTGAATATACCCCCACAAGTTAAAGTGAGACTTCAAAACGAAACCCCTTATGGTCGCAGAAGAAGAATCACCTACGCTAGGGAAGTTCTGTAACGGATGTATTTCATATAAACTTTTATTAAATATGAAATAAAGGATAATATAATTTTTTAGTGCAAATAAAACAATTTTGATTGATTGATGAATATTCATTGGATGATATTTGAATTAACCGTGAATTTGTTCACGGGTCCAGCTAGTAATATATAATTCATAATTTACTTATCTGTTAACTCGGGCGCACCTGGCTACCTTTCAGGGGTCATTAGTATCACCCAGGCCCACCATGAGAAACGTTGGGTTAGTATTCGAATTAACAAAATGTGTTTATCAGTAAGTTTTCAACGTTAATAAAAGATGAATTAAAAATAAATGAAGAAAAGAAAAAAAGAATACAGAAATAAATAAATACCGAATACAATGGAGGTCATGTTTAATCACATTTACTACATATACAATTTTTTAGAATACTACTAATACTAATTTTTACTTTCTGTTTTTGCTAAAGATATATTTATTTTCTATTCTCGTTCATTTTTTTTTTATTGATTGATAGTTTAGGTGTTAGTACTGTCAAAAAGGCGGTATAAATTATTTTAATTTGTTTTAAATGATGAATTCATAATCTTTGAGTATTTTAGGTTTAAATCCCGACATATATTTTCATATTTATTTCTGCTATCTTTTTCTAAATTTAACAAACTTTTCAATATTTGGGTTTATTTATTTATTTATATACTATTTCGTAATTTGTCTTGCTTTTTAGCGTTTTTGTTTACCCAACATTTTCTATATTTAAAAATACGTTAATTTCTTTTGGAGCTTGTAAAACACGTAATAATGGGTATAACATTTATATACAAACGTTATATATGTTCCAAAAGTTGTCATAGACCCGGTGTGGCGTGAGAGTGGTGTCAAGATCCCGCTGTATGCTTCCGTGGCACGCGTCTCAAATAGCATCTAACAACTAAGTCCAGCTCCAAACCGGATAATGGGCGAAGGCGGAAAACTAGTCTCATAACAAATTGTTTCGGGAAGATGAAACTCGACAGCCCAGAAAGTCCATCTCTAGGGGAGGAAAACCCTGATTTTAAAACTCTATTGCCTTGCTGCCATAGCTACACGTAAAAGGGTAAGGAAATAAATCCAGAGTGAAGCCCCGAAGGCTGTCAACACTGACAACTTTCCGGGAACTCCTGCAGCCAAGCCGTCCCCACATCAAATGCCTTGTATTTATTTTGATCTTGTCCCTACGGCTGACAACCACTATATACCATCAACAAGGAGATGTTATTCTAGTTTCACTACCAAAAGACTGAATTCTGACCAAACAGGGTACAAACTTTGTCTCACGAGATAAACGGATGACTACTACTATATCTAAGACTGCTACTATTATTATTATTATTATTTTAGCCAACAATGAAAAATAAAATTACCAGGAATAATCTTTCGAGCAGATGCCAATAAAAGTGCCATTGCCAGATCAGCTGTTGCATTGGCTACGACATGTTTAGTGTTTCCGATTCGAATGTTGGAAGCTTTGGCCCACTTTAAGTCAATGTGATCAATTCCGACGCCATGGTTGGAGATAATTTTTAAATTGGGTAACGAACGCAGAAGTCGGTTAACTTCTTCTGGGTCTTTCCCGGGTGTAATAACTCCAAAGATTTCAGGTGCTAGTCTTGGGTTTGCTGCAAGTTCGGAGGGGTAAACGACTCTAAAAGAGCGTTCAATTCTGTCCAGACATTTGCGCCTAAAGTTGGGATACTGTTTGTGGTGAATAAAATAATGAAAGAGTAACAAGACAAGAGGCTTCTTTCGGGACGCCATTTTGATGATCACGTTCTTTGATTTTTTTTTCCTTCCTTCCTTCCTTTTCTTTTCTTATCTTTTCTTTCTTATCTTTTTTTTCTTATCTTTTCTTTCTCATATTACATTTTATCTCCTTGTCTTTTTTCTTTCTCATTTTTTAACTGTCTTCCTTTGTTCGTTTATCTATTGCATTAATTTTTCTATCAGGCACATTAACACAGTCGAGTATTTTAAATGTTTTATTAGACATTAACAGCCATTATATAGACTACACTATGTTGGGACACTAGACACCAATAGCCGCTCACACCCACCCATCAAACCTGGTCAACAGAATTTACGTAAACACCAGCTGAAAAATATTTAGAAAGCCAGCGTTCCTGCTAACGTGATTAATAGCAATATGGGATCGTCACGTAGTAAAATGTTACTGTCTTGTAATGCCTAATGCGACAATTTAAAACCATTTTTTTTTATTCTTGGAAAAGTGATCTAAAGAAACAGGAAAAAAGGAGAGGCCGCAAAGAGAAGGTGCTTTCCAGACCCGTGGGTAAACACAGTCTCTTGTAATATGGCACACTATGCTTGTGAATAAAGGCAGCTTTTGCTGGCTGTTTTTGTTTTGCAATATATCAACATCTGTTGGTTATTAATGGCGAAATCTAAATATTTTGTACACAATTTTATTTTATTTTTGATATAATAATGATACAAGTGATACAAGTCTTACTAATTAACCCATAACTGGGGGATTCATATCATTCTCAAGGACATTTGCGCGAAAGTGAATATAACGAACGCAACTGAAATTGAAATTCGGCTCACCGATTAAAAATTCTGAGCCATTATCCATTGCACCAACCGCACATCCAAGCTTACAGCACCTAGTATTCACAAGCGGTCACTCATCTAGGTACTGACCAGTTTTGACGTTTACTTAACTTTGGTGATCGTACGCGAACCGGTGTTTCAGCGTGATGTGAGCGTAAACTGACAGCCTTTGTAACATTCACTAGCTTTCTTTTTCAGAGTCGGAGTGAAGGCATGTAATATATGTCTACATTTTTTTAGCATGTTTTCTTCCTAGAAACTTGATTTACATTTCTCTGATTTCTCCCTAACCTTTTTCCAAATTTATTTATTATTATTTTTTAATGTTTAATCTGTAACGACGGCGGATAATACCGTGGCTCCCAGATATATTTGTTAAACCAAGACAGTTTGTTTTATAGGTGCAAGTCATGGATATTGTTTTTTGAAAAAGGAAAATTAATAGAAAACGATTCGCATTTTTCTTTTTTTACATGAGTACAAGAGCAAAGAATACGTGAAGAATAAAAACACCAAGTCTTGTTGGTCTCCAAGGATCTCTCCTTGTTACCGGGAAGCGACGAAAGCTACTGAGGTTCATTTACGTGACGAGGCATGGCAGCCTATGATAGGCCACCATGAAGAAGCGGGAACGTGGAAGTGTGGACAGACCTGGCTATATTTGAACCTTTTGATGCAAGCGACAGATAGATTGGCATAGGGGAACACTTACGTTTATTTCCCTCTCGGTTTCCTCGGTATGAACAAATGACCAACCCCCAAAAACAAAAATATTTACATAAATACGTGAAAATTGTCACGTATTCCATCTTACATATAAGCAATTTATATAAACAATAAAATATCTTGCTCAGAAATGATCTCAAAATAAATCAAGTAGCAGATAGGAGCGCATGTCTATCGTAATTCAATAAATAACTTTTAACGGTTCACTGTAAAATAACCTTTTGGTTAAAAGCCAGTAACTGTTCTGACGTCAATAATGTTCTTGATAGAGATTAGGTTGGACTTTGTAACGCAGTTTAATTTTACTTAGCCTTTGTAATTGTATGCGCATTTTATGAGCTATAGTGTCAAGATGTGTTCATCATCGTCACGTTTATACAAAGGTAGGATTGGTTATCAGTAGACAACGGTATTTTGAAAAATTCAAAGTAATGGCGGCTCAGCCTCGTTTTCGTTTAATTGAGTTAAAGAAAGAGAATAAAAGTGAGTAAGAATAATGAGTTATAGGAATGATTGAAATGAAAAAGAAATTGAAAGTGGAAAAATACGAATAAATATAAATGATAGAGAGTGAGACAGATAGAGTTCGGGGGGGGAGAGAATGAGAGAGAGAGAGAGAGAGAGAGAGAGTCGAAGAAAGAAATTAAGAAAGAAATAGAATAAAAAAAGAGGAAATATGTAGCAAAGTTGAATATGGACATAAAAGAAGAAAGAACGTAAAAATGAAGGAAAGAAAAAATGAAAATACCAGCCGATTAACCAATGAATAAAAGAAGAAAAAAAACAAGATAAAACGATAGAAAAAAAAGGATAAAAAGATGTAAAAATAAACAAGTGACGAAATGAAAGAAAGAAAAATGTAATGAAGTAAAGAAATAAGAAAATCAGAACTGAGAAAAAGAAATAGAAAAGAAGTTAAAAAAGAAAATAGAAAAAAAAAAAAAACAAGGGTAAAAAAAAAGACAAAGGGATAAAAAGATCAAAAAGAAGAAAAGAAAAAAGAAAGGAAAGGAAAATAAAGAAAAAAACGACAAAAAACAGAAAGAAAAGGATAAGATAGAAAGAGAAAAAAAAAAAACAAAAAAGAAGAAAAACAAAAATAGCTAAAAAAAAGGAAAAGAAGAAAAAAAAAAAAAAAAAAAAGAAAATAAAAATCGAGAAAAAGAAACAGTAATAAAGGAAGATTCTAAAATAGAAAGAAAGAAAAGAAAAAAAGGAACAAAAAGAAGTAAAATGTCAGGAGAAAAAAGAAGAGGAAAACGAAAGGAAAAAGAAACAGGAAATTAATTTAAAAAAAAAAGAAGAATCCAAACAAATAAAAAGATAATAGCTAAGAAAAAAGAAAAGAAATTAATCAAATTTGAAGCAACATGAATATCGGCAAATATTCAGGGAATCAGATTCAAATTACCCTATGAACTCAAATGTAAACTCGATTTGTGTCTACCTATCTATTAATTCATTATGAATTTTGTCCTGTAACAATTATACCTACTATTAAATAACCCAACAAAGTTTGACATGTCAAATCAACCAATCTAACCTATCAATTGTCACACTGCAGTTGCTAGTCTTGTGTATGACGATAAACTACATCTGGCAGCAAGGCCTCTGATGGGGAGATTGGAGGTTTTCAGGAGTTCGGAACCACCCCTTAACTGCTGTTCTTCCCAGGTTTAACCTGATCCGGAGTGGTAGCTTTGGTTTGGTTTGTTTTACTGCATATCAACATCAATAGGTTATTTAATGTCGACAATTTCTATTGCTGGTAATATAATTTTTTCCCCTAAAATGTATTGCTGTTTTTTTTCAAAAATGTATTGCTGGTGATAAATTTTTCCTCAGAAATTTATTGCTGATAATAATTTTTTTACAAAGTATTTCTGGTATTAAGACCTATTTTTACACTTTCATAGTGTTTTAACTATTTGCCCATAGGTGGGACCCTAACAGGTGCTACGATCCCGGGTCAGAGTGGACATGGGAACACCAGCAATTAAGAGGTGGTTCCAAGCTCCTCAAAACCTCCTGATGAGGGTCCTTGCTGTTGGATGTAGTTTATCGTCTTACCCAGGACGCAGATGAATTTTATCGTCATACCCAGGACGGGGTGTAGTAGCACCCGTTGGTGCCTTAGCTATGGGAAAACAGTGACCTCCACCAAACAAAGACCAAAATATTAGGAACGTATAAAAATACATTTAAAGTAAAATACCAGCAATACATTTACATAAAAAATGACCAACAATACTTATTTATAGCAAAATGACCAACAATATATTTTATCTGTAGTTGAAGGCATGCAAATGCGTTCAAAATATTTAGATTTCAGCATTAAATAACCCATAGAGGTGTTGATATGTCACTAAACAAAATCAGTCATCCAAACAACCAACATAAAAAGGACGTTTTTATGAGATTAATCCATATAATATCCTACAATTTCTTAAATCAAACTGTATTTCAATATATAACTTGAACAAAACTACAGCATAAAAAAGACATATCACCACCTCTAGTAATTAAGCCTACACAAACATATATATGCACAAAAGGCTGAGTATCATCTACCATGTATTCAATTGTGAAAGCAGAATAACGTATAATATTTTTATTACCTCAAATCTCCCAAGCGAATTAAATTTCGACATTAAATGACCCATCAAGAGTTGGTATGTGTTGAAACTTGACTAATGCATGGAATAATAATGCAACACAAAAGGTACTTAAGAACAAAATGTATTGAAACAAGAAAGTGTACACAATATTTACATATAGTCTTTTGTATATTCCTGGGAAGACCGTTCCTGGAGAATGTGTTGACTGAGTCGCAGTCGGGCAGAGTCTCTGGTTGAATCTCTTGATTCCTCCTTCTCTTCCCGGTACCAACCATATTTATATGGTCGGTACTGCACTATGCAAATTAGGTGGATCCTACCACAACAGTATATCGTTAACCCTTTGTGCTCTGCGTTCCTGAACAATTCTAACCCAGAGCTCCTTGGTCAAAATTCGCAACTAATTGCTATGTAATATTTAATGGTAGATATAAAAATAGTTACAAGTGTTTACCCACCGTTCAACCGGTGACTGGGCATTAAGTCTCTTCTTCATCTGTGAGGAAATTGTCCTGCATTCACTGCCATATAGGAAGAGTGATATTATATAACAGAAAATTTTGTGGAAATATTTTTTTGTTCAGTTAAACTCCCCTTTCCATGAAGATGTTATTTCAGAAAAAAAATGCAATATCAAATGGGAACCTCTTGAAAGTTTGTCCTGAAATCTTATGAAAATTTTCTTTTTTTGTGCTTGCATAATTTAATAAAACACATGATTATCATTAGAATCTTCAATGAAAATTTATTGTTGAAAAAATTACTTGTAATTTTTCAGTAAGATTTTAAAATTCCTCCCTTTGCTGAGGCCACAATATATCTTTGTTATTAAATAAAGATTTGTTTGAAAAGTCGAAAAATGTAATGTTTAGTGCCATTTTCATATAAATATTTTTAAAAGAATTTCCATTTTTTCTTTTTATAACGATTATATTGTTTTGTACGGAAGATAAAGTAAGAAATAATTCGTCAATTCTGAATTACCTCCCTTCATTATAATTCTATTTTCTGCATCAGTTATACTTAATATGCTTTGACTGCTATGAGGCAAATCACTAAAGAGTAACAGTTCCAGAGGAGAAGAGTAAATATACATATATATATAGAGATGCGGTCTGATCAAAAAGCATCGGTACTGGTGCTATATAAAGACAACTACAACATATATCAATTCAGCATTTAATCTCCTTCGTAATAGTCCCCTTATGAAGCCACACATTTCATTTGACTAACATTTTCATTGGTGGAAATATATTCCTGGAGCTCTTCGTAGATGTTTCGTTGCATTCTTTTGGGCTTCGTCGACGTCTTCAAACCTTGTTCCTTTCAAGTAATATTTGATTTTTGGAAAAAGGAAGAAAATCACAAGAGACGAGATCTGAGGAATATGGTGATTGTCAGACTTGGGGGATGTTGTGATTAGCCAAAAACTATTGCACAAGCTGCACAGAATGGTCAGGTGCCTTATAATTGCATGAAATTATGTCCTTTACCGACGAACAGCATCCCGCAAAACGCCGCGACATGTCACGGTAGTACTCCTTGTTTACTGTCTGACAAGGTGGAGTATACTCTTGATGAACAATGCCTTTGTTGTTGAATAAAACTGTCAACAGTGTTTTCCCATTGCTTCGACTCATTCGAGCGTTCGTCAGGTTCGAAGAAGTTGGGATCTTCCACTGCGAAAACTCGGCCTTGGTTTCAGGGTCGTAACAGTAGACTCACAATTCATCACCTGTTATTTTCAGTTCACTTTTCTCTGGCATGGCCACTGATGGAACCTCCATGGTGTGGTGAGACAACCACACTCTACACACTTTCCTTCCAAGCACTGCTATAAACAACGAAAGTCAGCGAGAACGTCATATGCGTGATAGTGTTCAAAATCATTCTATGCCAAGCGTCTTCACTCTTCATACTTTAGCTACATTACTATACCAACATTCGCGATATTCTTTCATCAGACTTCGTATATATATATATATATATATATATATATATACGTATTTTTCAGGGCCAACAAAATTTCTTGAAAGTGTATACTATAGCTCAAAATGACAGCATTTTCTTCGGTTTAATAAATTTCTTATTCATTTTTATAATAAAATAAAAGAACAAAATAAAAATAATGTCTTCGTTTGGATGTCATAGAATAATTAAGGTTGGCTGCCTCTGATCAAAACTTTCTTGTTATATAAACTTAAAAATAATTAATTTTAAACATAAATGAAACCAGTTTCTACATTTTGCTTGTTTTGGTCCTCCTTATTTAACTCAATTTGAGACTGGATTTTTGAAAATGGTGAGCTGGGTTAAAGACTGCTACGATTTGATTTATCAAATTCTTGATAGGTGGAATATACCTTACTGTGTTCAAATGTATTTTCCTCTGTATTTACGCGTAAGATCTGTAATATTTTACCGAAATTCTGTTAATGGGTCCTTAATTTTACTAATTTTCTTTTAAACAATTCTCTAGGACATTTGATTTTGAAGAGTTTTTTTTTGTCTTAGAATTTTTGTTACCACTCTTCAATTAAAATGGCGGATCAATGATGAGTTGTTTGTCAAAATGTTCTTTTTAAATGTTTTAAATATATATATATATAGTTTTTTTTTATTTTTATAGATAAGCCTTAGGCTATAATCTTTCAAATAGGACACATTTAAATAATTTAAAATACGATTTAAATGTCTTTAAATCAAATGTTTGGCAGTACCTACGAAGTTTTACAGATACATAACTAAATTTTGTACTAGATTCACCGTTATTTTGAATTTCCGTTACTATAAAATATTAAACATTCGTGCTTTTCCTGTTGCAAATGTATCAGTTTTCAAATGTTCAGCGTATATCTTGCAATACTTAATAGTTCCAAGTCACTAAGTCGTTCTCAAGTCACTTAGATAAGAATTTAAGCTTGCTGAAGGACATTTTCCAGCTAATAATCAGGAAACACATTTGTTAACAAAATCTGCAAAGTAATTCTTAAATATAAGAAGACCTCTTCAGCATATGAAATAAATCCGTGAACCGTACTGTTAGACGTATGGTCGGGTCATCGGTGACTAAACCGATCCCTCCACCAGGCACTAGACACTGACTAGGATTAAAAAAAAAAGTTTTAATGAACCTCCTTTTTAGAGTCATAGGTCATCTAGAATAGTGGGGTATACTGAAGCTTCATTGCTATGTATCCGGCTAGTACGATAATCACTGGGAAGAGGATTTTTCTAGACTGAAATCAACGGTCATGGCGGAGAATTACCTTGATGGAATCTAAGTAAGTCAGAGGACATCGGCTGCAGTTTGACTTGAAGAAAGATGGGATCGACGAAGTATACTAACCCAAGACACGCTACGCATGAATACCTCCTTGACCTTCAGTCCAGTTTTGTGGAGTGAACAAGTCAAGTGTTTATTTGCACATCGACCCTACGACCACATTCGGACTGGCGATGATGATTCATTTCTCTTAATCAGC